GAGGCGGGGAAATCTGACTCGACCATGCTCGACACTACACAACATGCACTAAGGATGGATAAGGTAGAGGCCCATGAAACCTTGCGCCTAGCATGGTCAAGTACCATGCTTGACGCCACTTCAAGTAGAAAGTCTTTGTCTAACTCATGTTTAGTGTCACCATATTGGTGCCCAACGTCATCTAGACAGAGAGCTCTGACTTGACTACATTGGGCACCACTCAACCTTGAGTCTGACATCATTAAGTAAAAGATCTCCTAATGCTCTCACGTCTGGCATCATCCAAATCATGTTTGGCGTTCTTTTAACTCAAGATGAATCTCTCTTCTCACGCTCGTCACCACTGATCAATAAGCTTAAAACCCAAAGGCCCACAAAGCCCAAAACTAGGCCCAATAAGCTTATTAATGCAAACTATTTTATCTTCTTAACAAGTGCTATAATAATACTTTCCTCTCCTTTTATTTGCTCATCTTAGGATAAACCTTTCAAAAGTTTGGATTGAATCAATCTTGGTGCAAAATCATCACTATTTTTCCTGTGCATATGAAACTATTTGGTATTGTTTCCTCAATCATAACTCACAAAGAGTTCTTTTACTAATTTCTTCTCCCTTCCCATTAATTTCTTCAAATAATAATATCGTAGCCGAAATTTGCATCACCACATTTTCTGAAATGACACTAGTGGACCCTATTAATTTCCTTACATGATGATCTTATTTTTCAAAACCAGCTGCTAATGAGTCCTTTCAGTTTCCCTTTTATGCGTTTCAAATTCCAAATTTCAGCCTATGCTGCATGTCTACATCCCAATCACATCATGGTGACAGAGCTTTATGAATTCTGATGTAGCCTCCAAAGGGGAAGCTTATCTTATCTCCATTGCACTGAAAACCCATCAAACACACAACTTTTGTGTTTCAATTTCTTGCCATTAATTCATAATTAGGTTTGACAAATCAATCCTGAAACATGGCTAAATTTAGCCTATTGCAGAGCATGATTGTTTCCAACTGATAAAATTCTTTGACCACACATAGAATTATCCTTTCAATTCCAGGATCACCGTATTTTAAGGTTTTTATACATATATATATATAAAGAATAATAATAAATATATTATTATCTTTTATATAATTTTATTAAAATAATCCTACTCTCCTAATAAATATATTATTTTTAACAGTAGCACTAGAATAATTAAAGCAACACAAAATTATTCAACTTAAGAAGTAATATGATGATCTTAAGTTTGAGTCTTTAATATGCAACTGCATTAAACATTTAACGAGAGTTTTGCAGAGTTCTACTCGTCTCAAGTGAATTGTCTTCCATAAACGATATACTGTGTAGTCTGTACCAAAAACACACAGAATCATGCATGCATTGGCTATGTTGCAGCAGACGGATGCAGTTTGATGCATGCAATCATTGCAGACCACAATCCTTGTACAAGAAAGAGTTGTAAAGGTGTATGCAGCTACTTTTCTTTCAAAAGTATTTTACTTCAAGATGCAACTACTGCAAAAGATCAAGTATATTAAATGGAAACATATAAAATGATTCATTTTATAGTAACACCTCTAATATGTTCCCTTGAGCAAGATCAATTTGGGGTTGAAGCGGGGATAGGTACATTCCTGCCTATTTTTGTGCAGAAGAATGTGTTATATAAATCTGAAATCTCACTCTAGACTAGTTGGTTGTAAATATTCTGATTCTTGGTCATGAACTAACTGTCAAAAAAGTTTCTGAGTGAATGAACTTAGGCCCTGAAATATGATTTTAAATTTTTAATGGACTAAGATAAGATTTCTTACATTTTAAATCAGTGTTATCCTGTCCATTATTGTGATTAATTAGTAGGCAATGATTCCCCTGGGAAATTTAAGAATATGGTTGTTGGAATGATATGCAAATGCAACCGTCTTTCTGGTAATTATTACCTAAAGAAGATAGAGTGAGTAAAGTAGTGATTGGATTCTGGGGCCATAGAAATCTGCATGATTATTGAATCTATGGAAATTAAATTGCAGAGTCCTAGGTGCAATGTTGATGCAAAAGCAGCTAGGAAGTGATAAGCATGTGCCAATAAGCCTTTACCCTCACTCTTTTTTGGTGGCAGACAGAGCTACTCAACATTAAGTGTTAAATAAGCTTTCTATATTCTATATTCCATACCAACCAGCCCAATTGTTGTTTGGATTCCCTCAAAGTGGTAGTAACAAAGCTATAAAGATCAGAGGGAGGATAAGGTGTCTCTGAAGAGGAATCATCCATGGCATTTGCTAAATTTTTGAATGAAGAATTTTTCATTATCTTGCTTTGCCATGCTGACTTTTATTAAAGAACTCTGAAATGGTAGCAGATACTTTTTTTTCTTCTCTCTTTTTTGGCCCTTTTTTGTGTTGGTTGAGAATATCAGAATCTGTGTTTACCCTGGCCTTGGGAAACGACATGGTTACTTTTGCAATTCTTCAAAAAGCTTGCAAAGTGGTCTCGAATTTTTCACAATGTGTTACAATGAAAATTTGGTTGGTAGAAGGGAAGTAAGAACTGTAAAGTATAATATGATTAAAGGACTCGTTGACTGTGCAAGATATTGATCAATGTGAATGCGATCACATTAAATAAGGGAGATAAAAAATATCTCCCTTTCACATATTCGGTTCATATTTTGAGTCAAATATGTAATAGTTGATTGTATATGGGATCACACAGGTACTTTTATTAGTGCTAGAATGAGATTATTCGGAAATAGTTTTGGGAAGGAAGATGAAGCATTGCTCTTAAGTATTTGAATTCGAACTCTGTACCTGCGGAACCTTATCGTAATTTTCTTTTTATTTTCTGTTTGTCCCAGGAAAAAGTTTGACGTAGAATGACAAGAAACCAACGTTATCGTGTACTCGAAGCACCATGAGGTCTCTATTTGTTTTTATTTATTTATTTATATTATATATATATATATATATTTATATACAATTAACTGCATGTTTTGACTATGGTCATCGATTTCACATGTGAACTTACAATTATGTCCCTGCTTTTAGCATCCCTAGTTGGGGTGTCACAATCTCACATCCACTGCAATTTTTGCTAATCCCTGTTCGAACAAACACTTTACCTTTTTCTCTTTTTGTGTCCAACTTTTACGGTGCTATAATAATACTTTCCTCTCCTTTTATTTGCTCATCTTAGGATAAACCTTTCAAAAGTTTGGATTGAATCAATCTTGGTGCAAAATCATCACTATTTTTCCTGTGCATATGAAACTCCATGGACCACTTATCCAACTTCTCCATCATAGACATCACCCTGAATTATATATATTACACTCAGAAGTTTGATCTCAATATATTTGTGTATACGAAAAAAAATCAATTAAGATAGATTAATTCCGTAGTTGGATCTTCATATCTTTGGAAATTAGTCTTTAATGTTTTTTTTTATATAAAATAATACATCGAGCGAAAAAAAAAATATTAAATATTTTACGTGCTAAAGTTGTGGTAATCCAGAAAATTGCGATCTTGAATGGAAGATTCCACCACCCTTTTGTCAAATGCAACCATGGGGTCCAATTTGGAGGGCACCCACTGCCCTATATTTAAGGGCAAAAGGTTAAATTAAATTGTGTCTATATAATCTAAAAAGTCCATCTAGACTCACTGATTAAGGTTGAAAATTAACGTTGTTGCACTAAAAGAAAAATGTGTCTGCATCTCACAACTCATATTAAAATACATCGAATTTGTACATAAATAAAGTATTGGTATTTTGCCTTTAACTCATCAATTGCGTATTCTCTTATTTTACTGAATCCAAATCGAATCATAGTTAGAGTTATAATCGTGTGAGCTGTCATTTAAAAATTTAGTATTTTCTCGATGGTTTGAAAATATTAATTCAAGTGGTATGCTTGAAATTATGCCATCAATTATCTCGTTCAAATTTTATTTTTCGTGATTAACTCAAGCAATAGCATAAACCCCTCCAACAAATTTTGTTTCGGGGTCTTTATTTCATGAAGTACGTTGAATGAATCACTTGTATTATTACCCTAACAAAATTATGGATAGAAAGCCCTGTTAACGTTAATCGAAAACCAGTGGTTGTTTTCGATCACACTACATTGGAAACAAAATACCATCAACATACTTGTAAAATTATTGTTAGATAACATGTTATGGCATGTCCCTTAATATAGATTTGAGTTGAAATAATACCAAGTAAGTGGAATAGGTTTGTTTCGACTTAATTAATGATTTTTTAAAATATACAACCTTCTTAATAATTTAAAGAGAGTTTTTGATTTATTTATGTTATGTTTGGTTTAATTTAGAGAAGAAACTGAAGGGGGGGGAATTAGTAGAAAATGAAATGATGTCGTAAGTTGTTTGATTGTGCAAAGGACAGAAAATAAAGAAAATATGTATGCAAAAGGTACAAACTAAAAAAAATGCGACAACAAAGTTTTTTTCTTTTTTCTTTTGAAAAAAACAATAACTCGTACAAAATTGACATGTGAGATATAACTTAAGAGTTTATTCAAAAACATTTCATAAGCATTTATAAATGATGGAATCACCCATTTCAATATATATATATATATATGTATAACTAACTGATTTGAAAATATTGTAAAGAATGAAATTTCAGAACTTTTTTTCATATACATCAAAGTGATAGAAAAGATTGTTTACATATCCATCAAATTTATCAGCTTTTCAAAAATGATGAAAACAAATTTTATCTCTTTGTGAGTATTATTGTTGCCCGCATATTATCTTCTCTATAACTTTTCTGTAATTCTTTAATGATAGATTCTAAAAATAATGATAGTATAGTTTATAACTTTCTAACAAATGACAACAATGAGAACTTGTGTTTATACTATTTTTTGCACCGGAAAAAAAATATAATTGATATAATAAGGAAAAAAAAATTTAATGGCTATGTATGTGATATAAAACTCTAATAATAATGATCCAAAAGTTTTAGAAGAAAAGAAATTATTAATAGGCAAACAACTGAAACAAGTATCCCAATACAGTTTACAAGGTAAATTGGTAAAATACAACAAGATCTAATCACTGAAAAGACAAGAAAATCAATTTTCAAAAAAAAATTCCAGGCCAAGGAACATGATACAGCTCTAGAAAGAAATCAGGACTCTAGTTTCTATTGCATGTTCAGCAATTTTGGTCCTAGACTTACACTGACTCTACTTCTGCCTCTTGTAAATTTTAGCCAAAAAGGACTTCAATACAGCTTGAACTGCTTTGCTAGAATGAGCTTCAATGGAGGTTACAAGCTTCTCATAGCTCCCTTTCTCATACTCCTCAAATACACCCTATTCATTCGGATTGAGAGTAAGTAATCCAAAGAAAATCAACATCTACCATGATGTGCAGACATGTTTCGAACTTTAATTTGCATGACTTTCTTGCAAAATGTGTGGAAATGTTACTTTTCTTTTAGCATCTTAATTTTGTTTCCTTGCTGTTTGGTTAATAGGTCATCTTAATATGCTGATGTTGCAAAGATGCAACATAAGGGTGGCGTTTCCTAATACATTATTGATGAGCTAGATATGAATGAAGTTCAAACCTGAAGATTAAGCTCGTTATACAGGGCCTTTACTTTAGCAACATTTTCTGGATCTGGCTTTCCATAGTGCTCCTGCAAACCACAAAAAATAGTGATTTATTGCAGTCTAATCATGGCAGAAAATATGGAAGGAAGCAGGAAATATTAAAATGCTCACTTACATTTAAAACTTTCTTTTGTTGCTCATTGCTAAGTTCCAAAGCTTTCACGACTAACCAAGAGCACTTAAAATCTTCAATATCTGTACCTATCTGGTCCCATAGATAACTAGAATGAGATTAAATAGAAGTTGATGTTTCCAGTATCAATTATCAAGGATGCACACCTTTCCAATTGTTTGAGGATCCCCAAAGCAATCCAAATAATCATCCTAAAATGAGGGGAAAACAAAAAGACAAGATGTAGGTTACAATACAGTTTTTAAAAAATATTTCAAGTTGATAGCGACAATATGTAGTATTACAGCCTTCTAGAGTCCAAATGACTTAAAGACAAACAACAGGTCAAACCTATGCTAACAAATTATTACCTGTACTTGAAAGTACGTTCCCATCTCAACAAGAATGTTCTTTACATCAACATGGTTATCCAGATTCTCACCCGCCATGAGCAATGCACACGCAACCTGTGTAAGGAGGAGATATATACATAGATAAATAACAGATATTCTAGAGTGATAGCCTATAGGACTATTAGGAAATGAATCAAATAGATAATAAAAAAGAAATAACTTCCTTTAGGTGAAGACTCATTAGAAACATGTTGTACTTTCAATTTTCAATTGAGAGGGGGCACGGGTTAAAGGAAAAGATGTGATTTCAAACTGAATAACACAACTTGCATTTTATTATCTTTTTCCTTGTTTGATCAGAAAATATTAGATTCTAGCATTCTGAAATACTTTGTCACTTGTCATTAGCATCTCAAGGAAAAAGGGCAAGGAAAAAACCAAAAATAGGGAGGTTAAACAAAAAAGGTAGGATAATAATACTTACTGGAAGGTAAAATGAATAATAGGCAGTCTTGTACTGAACAATTCGCCGATGCCTGCAGAAGATGTTTTTATGGTGCTAGTCATTAGTATTGATTTCCTAGATAGAATAATGGGCAAGAAATTGAAACATGGCAAATTGCTAGCCAGCTAGAGGAGAAGGAACTGGTAATAAGCAAATTTCACATCTTGTTCTTCAGCATGCTCAGAACATGGCTCCACACAAGAAATTTGCTGTAAGATAGCAATCAAAGTAGCAAATTTACTAGACATCTTTCATTTTAAACCATAAAGATAGCCACACCTATATCTTATAGGCAAACAGTTATCGCTCTTCTGATGTCAGCTTCCAGACAAATTTTACAAAATACTGTTGATTGCACAGAAAGGATGTGATTATTGCTCTCAGGCAGAAATTTTTTTTCTTTTTGCATAGCTATTTTTGTGACATCCACATATGACCCCAGCATTTCATGTTTGTCAAAAAAGAAATTCATCAATAATAAATTCTCTGTACTCACAGTGTTAATGTGTACTTGGACAGATCTTTTTCTCCTTCCAGTGTGGTGATCAGATCTATCATCTGTCCTGAAGCAGTCTGAAACTCAACCTAAAAGAAAAGAGAGACAGTCAAATTTAAGCATATCAACAAGATGAAATCCACATAATTTAAGCATCGACATATGTACAACCTCATTAAACAAATCAAGAAGATCAACATAATACGGCTTTCCCCTGAAGTGTTTCCTAATGATACGTGGAATATGGTTTCTTAGTAGAACTCCATCATTAGCTGCAATCATTCCAACCTACACCATGCAGTAACAAGAACCAATTACTTCATCACAACAGCAGCAAAAAAGATAACAAGACAGATCACATTGATTGCCTCGACAAACCTTGGGTACTCTAAACCAGCACGGCTGACCACGACGTGTGTGAGAGTTATCCATAATGTCATCAAGAACAAGAAAATATGCCTGAAGCTGCAAAACCCATCAACACACCATCATAAGAACAAGTTTAACCACTTAAAAAAAAAAAAAAAAGTAAAAAAATTCCAACCAATTAACATACCCATTCAATACACCAACCAAGAACACTAGCAAGGAAAATCTCGTCATCATTTAATGTCTGCCCCTCTTTCAACAATCTATAGCTGTCAATAACCGAAAGTCCCCTGTTCAACTTCCCTGCAGTTAAAACAACCCATCTTTTCGTCAATGTCAACACCCTTTATATTTTCGCCAATACCCTTTATCTCTTTTCACAAAAAAACTTCTCCTTTCTTTCAAAGCAATAAATAGCAACAACAACAACAAATCACTCAGTAAGAACTTGAAAGAAATCATCAAGAAGCACCTCCCGGCACATTGTAGTCCAGCATCTGCGACAAATTAGAATAACACAAAGTAAGTAACAGAACAAAATAAATACGCGTACTTCATTCAAAAGACAACCAAATGTTCAGGAGATCACGTGTACAGTAACACGCACGCGAGTAACGGCATAAGTACACAAGAAACAAAATTTCTTTAATCATTGCAGTATCTTAAATTTCACTGAATCTGAGTTTTCTTGAGTAAACTTTCCGGCATCACATTAAATTAATCTATTGTTACACACTGTAATGAAACCAAATCTACGATGAAAAAAAAAAAAAAAAGATGGATGAGATGAGATGATGTACCCGGTCGACCCATTGGCGAGCATCATCGGAGAACTCGAAAGCGGGGTCGTGGAGGAGTTCGGATTTGAGGACGGAATAAACGTTTAAGAAAGTGGACTTGAGATCCGCCATGGGTTGGAAGAAGATTTAGTTGAAGCTGTATTTGTGATTGTGAAAGTGATAACTGATTTAAATAGAGGGAGGGTGCACGGAGAGGGAGCACCCGAAGAGGAATTTAAGGAACTACAACTGTGGACTGTGGAGCTTTTCGCCTCGTCACTATTGTGTTAAGTGTGTGTGTTCCAAAATGTCTATTTCTTATTCCTGAAATTTAGAACAAGGTTTTAACTTACTACTTATTCTATTACTTTCAAATTTTTAAAATGTGCGGTTAAAATGATAAATACTAATATATATATTTAAAAACTAAATTAACATTCTACAAAATTATTTAATATTTTTAAATTTTAATAAAAACTAAAAGTAATAATGATTATTGTAATGAGAGGTTAATATAGTTCAAGTTTTATACAAACACAACTTCATCTATTTAAAGTTTGGATTTTAAATTCACTTATTTAATAAAAATATTAAGTTAGACTTTTAAAATAATATTTATTTAAAAAATTAGGCTTAAATTTATAGTAAAAAAAATTCATTGAATTTAATAGATTGTCTTATTTAACTATATAATATAATAAAAATTAATATACATATTACATTATTAATAATATAAATAAATAAATAAATAAATTTATAATTAAAAAATTAAATTATCTATATTTTTGTATTTTCACTATACTTAAATATTTTATATTATTTGTTTATAAAAATTAAGAAATAAAAAATAAAATTATGTTCGTTTATTCTTTTCTTTTTGTTTTTATGATTAATTATTTAAAATATTTTCAAATGAAATATAAGAGATATTTTAAATTTTATTTTTTTATAAAATTATTCTCTTTCATCACAATATGTACATACATCTGGATGAATTATCTATTTTGGATTAATTTTTACCTTTTCTTTAAAATATACATTTTAATAATAATAAAGAAAATTAATTTTTATTGTGTAATTAGAAAAAAAAATGATACATATTTAAAAATAAGTTTGTTAACTTAATTATAATTAAATTTATTAATTATTTTATAATTAATGTCAAAATTTAAACTCAAAATAATTTAATTAAAAAATACAAATCACTACTCCATTTATATTAGTTAATATTAATCAAAATAATAGTCAACTTTTAAAAAATTCTAACTAATTTATAACATAAATTGAATTTAAACTTTAATTTTACAAATCAGTAGACGATAATCATAGTTAAGGTTTACCCATGTCTTCAAATGAGAATTGAGGCGGAAAGAACATGCTAGACCACAAAATAATTTCGTGTATATTATAATTATAGGGCACGCTTACTCTGTTTAGAACTAAAAAAATGTGCGAAATAACGAAGAATAAAATATAAAATAAAAGAAATATAATAGAAAACATGTATTATTTAAATTAATAAATAAATAAAATAGTATATAAAAATGATTCTAAATTAATTAAAAACTAGCAAATGTTGTTTTAAGAAAATAAAATTTATCATCATTATTATCTCTTCGTTCCATACACCCCAACCAATATCAACCACCACCAACTAATGTGTTTGGTTTGCACTTCAAAAATTGCAAAAAAAATATAATAATGAAATTAGTTTAATTATTGATATTTTTTAAAGATTTTTTTTGATGAAGGTGTTTATAAGAATTTTTTTTAATTTATCATTTTTATTATTAAACTTGATTTTAATATAATAGTTAAACAAATTTTTATATCACACAATAAAGTAATTATTATAAATCTAAAATATAATATATATTTTAGAATATTTATTTATTGCAAATTTTAATTATAATAGTATAATTCAAAGAGTGGTGTTATAATATAACAAAATTTGCACCACATTATCTCTTTTCATTACTTTATTTTTGTACAAATTGTTATACAATTTTTTGTTGTATGTGTATATCATTGTTCTAATTTATATATTTAAAAGTATTATTTATATTACCAAAAAAAAATACTTTTTCTTAAATATATATAAAAATTAATTATTTTCTCCTAATGTTACTTTTCCTAAAATATCATCATTTTAATGCATGACATTTTATGAAATCAATAAAATTTAGTGTAATTAATTAATTTTCCTAATGTGTAAAATAATTTTTTTTTTACTTATAATAAAGAAAAGGTAAAGTACTTATTGTAAATTATATATATAATATTGGTACAAAATTCTAACTTGGAACCTAAATATAGCGACTTATGACAAATTTGAAGGAAAGAAAAGAAGTAGGTGAGGTAAAATCACAGAAAGAATATTAGTACATAATTCTAACTTCCAACCTGAATGTAGTGACTTACAACAAATTTTAAGGAAAGAAAAGAAGTAGGTGAGGTAAAACCGCAGAAAGATCTACTAAGCCTCCACTATCATTCATTAAATTATATTTTTATCCTTCAACCTTAAAAATCACATCAAGATGCTCTTAAGTCTTAGCTTACTAAGAGGAAAAAGTTACTGTATTACTTAAGTTAGGACTACTATCATTTTTTATTATATGAAATGTATTCAAAATTAATTTAATAAATTAATAATATTTTAACTATACATCATATAAAATTAATTAAAGATTATATAATTGTGGGCCATTTAATAGTATAGAAGTGAATAATTTTTATTAAAAAAAAATGGTCCAGCTTCAATATTGAGACGTGGCAGGTTCCAATTGGGGTTTGATTTGAAATTGAAGCATGTTAGGCCCACGTCGCCCTCGTTGTAACCCACGAGGAAGGTGCGACAATGAGGACAGAACGAGAGATTATGATCCACTGCTTATTGAGGCATAGAATAGATCAATAGAAGCATAAAGTCCATATAGGAGTACAATTTTATTAATTTAATCATTTAAAATTTGTATGGTTCACGTGGATATTTAATTATTTATTAAAAATAGATATTTCTACACCACCATTTGAGACCTTATTACACCAAAAATAGAGTGATTCATGTAACATAACTAACTCCCTCAAAAAAAAAATGTAACATAACTAACAACTATTTTTAGGTGAGAATAACACAAAATTTACGATGGAGTCTACAAAAGTTTGCTCCTAGTGGTTGGTTTGATTATGAATAGGATTGAACACGCGTAAGGTATCATTGTTTTAAACTACAAATTCTCTATTTTAAATCTCTGTTAAAACTTTTTTAATGTTAGACCAATAATGGGCATACTAAATATAATTGACACTGTGAATTTGAATACTTCAAAATCATTTCAATTCGATTAATTTTCTTTCATTCGTTGGATATATTTTAAAATTTAAATCAATATACTTATTTATTGGACATACTAATTAAAGGTTTACATGGGAGCAAACCATCCCATGTTCTAACATCGTCCCAATAAATAAAATTTAATTCCGTCTAATTTAGTTTTACTGTTTAGGGAGGTCTAACTTAATCATTTGAAAAAATACATAAAATGTTGAAAAACAAAATTTAATAGTAAATTTTGATTTTAATAAATAGACAAAAAGATATATTACGTTATGAGTATCATGATTTTATTTAAAAAAAAAATGTTATGGTAGATTAAGAGAGGAAGATCAAATATTATGTGCCTTGGCATTTGTGAGTCTGCAATTATTTAAAAGCGTCTTGGTAAGCTAATATAAACGTGTTTACAAATTATTAATCCACGAGAGATGCGAAAATTAATTGGTGAACTAGAATATCTACATTTTAGACATTTTTTAATTCACTAATAGTGTTAAATTTTTTACATTAATTTTGTTAAAATTAAATTGATAATAATCATCACCCTAACATTTTTTTATTAGTTGAGCTATTTTATTTTAGCATGCATGGTTCAAGTGGTACATCTTTAGAAAAAAAAATATTTTTAGGAGAGAAATGTGTTTATAAATAATTATTTTATTTTAGTAATTTATTAGTGCGGTGTAAAATCTTTATCAGTGAATCGAAATATTTAGAGGTTGTAACACTGTGCATGGTAAGTTAATTGTTTAGAGTTTAGTTAACTCTGGAGAGAATGCTATATAAGGTTTTTTTTTTTAGAACGAAACCTCATAAGTTCATTCTCAAAGAAATCTAGAGATAAGTTTTAAAAAGAAAGACTCTAGGTCTGTGAGCTTCCTTTTCTTCCAAGTTTCTCTGTTTGATTCCTCTTCTCTTCTAGATCACTAATCTCTTCTATCTTTTCTTGAAATTCAAGTTAGGAAGTTTGAATTTGGCTTCTATCTTTTCTTCCCCTTCTTGGCTGTTATAAGCCAATTTTCAGGTGAGGGAAGATAGGATGTTTTTGGTTGGTTACATGTAAGTTTAGAAACTCAATTGATGCATGAAATTGGGGATTGAACTATTGACTCGAGGGGTTTTTCCCACCTTCATTGATTTACGGGGTTTTTGGGTGATTTTGATGCACTGGATGGGTGCATGGGGGATCTGAAGATATTTTTGGATTCCATAGAGTCTGGTTGTTGAATTTCATGGTTTGCATGTTGTTGCTTCGTCTAAAATTGTAGATGTTTCTAGAAATTTTTGAACTTGGTATGCTGGTTTTTGAATTTGCATCGGCTGTGCCTTCATGGCATCGAATGGGCATGCATCAGGGGTGACCATCTCACGGTCACCTTGGGCGCGAGATTATTATCATTGGGTGTAATTTGAAATGAGGGCTTCTAGATGAATGGCGTCAGGTGTGAAAAAGGCCACGTTGGGCGCAATATCAGATAATGACTTGGTGGCGTCGGGCGTTGGGATGACTATGTTGGAAGTGGATGCCCCTAGAAGTCTCTAACTTGGTGGCGTTGGGTGCGGGGATGACTACACCAGGCGTGGATGCCCCTAGAGTCTCTGACTTGGTCGCGCCAAGCGCGGGGATGACTGCGTCGAGCATGGAAGCCCCTAGGAGTCTCTGACTCTATTAAGTCGAGCATGAGCTAGGCTGCGCCGGGCGTGAGTTACAATTTAGTGTTGTGGCTGAGCTGTGATGCTTTGGCATGTATTGGTGTTTGATGTTGATTCATATATGCATGATATATGATGTAAATTGATGATTGGTTCATATGTATGCTTTGAAAGATATAAATATGAATGTTTGAATGTGAATTATTATGTATGTATGTTCATATGAGAATGAATTTGATCATGATGGTGGATTGACCATGTATGATGTATGATGGATTGTTTGCATGTGGTGTCTTATGACATGTGTCTAGCCTAGGACTTTAGGAAATGG